GTTATTGATATGGTCAATTATGCTGATAGTTTTCCTAATATTGATCCAGCCCTGCATTCCTGGTATAAATCCCACCTGGTCATAGAATATGATCCCGGTGATACATTGATATAATCTCCTTGTTAGTATTTTATTTACATTTTTTGCATCAATGTTCATTAGGGAAATTGATCTGTGGTTTTCTTTCTCTGTTTGGCTCTTCCTGGTTTAGGTATCAGCACCATATTTGTGTCATGAAAGAAATTTTGTAGGACTCCTTCTTTGCCTGTTTTCTCAAATAGTTTGTATAGTACTGAAATTAATTGTTCTTTAAGTGTTGGTAGAATTCACTTGCATATGAATCCATCTGGCCCTGGGTAGGGGGAAGGTCTTAAGGAGTTCATTGAAGGCTTGCTCAATTTCTGTTTCTGAAAGAGGCTATATAAGTATTCTATTCTTCTTTTGTTAATCTCAGCAATTTATGTTTTTGTAAATATTTATCCATTTCACTTAGATTTGTCAGATTTATTGGTATATAATTATGTAAAATAACTCCTGATAATTACTTTAATATTCTCCTTGTTGGTAGTGAATTCACCCTATTCATTTGGGGCTCTCTTTCTGGAGGTGATTGGTGGATTTTTTACATTTCTACTTTGCCCTCTGCTGATAGGATATCAGGACACTTCAAAAATTTCTTGAAATATGACATCTAGGCTTGTTTTTTGACCCTGGCTTTTAAGTAGTCCAATAATACTTAAATTATCTTTTCTTGATCATTTTCCAGGTCAGTTGTTTTTCCAATGAGATATTTCATATTTTCTTTAGTTTTTCATTCTTTTGATTTTGTTTTGTTGTTTCTTGCTTTCTGATGGAGACATTAGTTTCCAGTTGCCCAATTCTAATTTTTACAGAATTATTTTTTTTGTTGAATTTTTTTACGTCCTTTTCCATTTGGCCAATTTTACTTTTTAAGGAATTCTTTTCATCAGTGAATTTTTGTATTCTTTTTCTATTTTGCATTGGATAGACTGCTGGGCCTAAAGTCAGGAAGACTCGTATTCCTAAGTTCAACTCTGGCCTCAGACACTTACTAGCTGCGTGACCCTGGACAAGCCATTTAATACTGTTGCTTCAGTTTCCTCAGCTGTAAAATGACCTGGAGAAGGAAATGGCAAATCACTTTAATATTTTTGCCAAGAAGACCCCAGTGGGGTCACAAAGAGTTGGACATGAGTGAAATGACTTAGCAAAATTCTGCTTTTTGAGGCCTTCTCTTCAATGGATTTTTTTTTTTGCCTCTTTTACCATTTGTCCATGTTTATTTTTTAAGGTGTCATTTTCTTCACTATTTTTTGTGCCTCCTTTACCAAGCTGTTGATATTTTTTTCATAATTTTATTGTATCAGTCTCATCTCTTTTCCTAATTTTTCCTCTGCCTCTCTTATTTGATTTTTAAAACTGTTTTTGTGCCCTTCCAGGAATTCTTGAGGGATGGGGAGGCTGTGACCAATTCACATTTTTCTTTGAAGCTTTGTATGCAGCTATTTTGGTTTCATTTTCTTTTGAGTTTATATCTTGTTCTTCTTTGTTACCATAATAACTTTGTATGATCAGGTTCTTCTTTTGACGTTAGTTCATTTTTCCAGACTACTTCTTGATTTACAACTTTATGTTAAAGTTGGGCTCTGTTCCTGGGGTGAGGGGGCATTTTCCTAAGCTTCAGGATTTTCTTGCTCCTATTTTTAGAGCTACCTCTTCGGGTTTGTAGATTTTCAGCTCTTCCAAGGTGGTATGATCTAAGGAGAGGTGTGGTCACTGCTCCCCTGGCTTGTGGTGTTCTGGTCTGTGTGCTCTGGAACTGTAACCAGAGCCCCAACACCCCTGTAGTGGCAAGTTCTAATGAGCTGGAGCTCCTCTTAGCTCTGGGACTGAAACCCAGAACTGAGTATGGGCAATGCAACAGAGTCCTGCATCCAATGCTAGCAAAGGGTCCCCTGTAATCTCCTTCTGAAGAGTTGTCTGACCCCCTGAAACAGACTTTTCTGCCAAGTTCCTAAATTGCTCTGGGCTGGAAAATTGATTCATCCCTACCTTTTGTTAGGTCTGCCACTCAAGAATTCAATTTGAGGTATTATTTTTAAATTGTTTGGAGGGGAACTTTGGAGATCTTCACTCCACCAAAATAGTTCTACCTCTTTCTCAGTTGTCTTCCAATAAAGGAATGACAGTAATTCACTTATGGGGTGGGGCATTATAAAAGGGTTCTCTTCATGGTATGACGTAAAGATTGTAGGTGGAATTCTATACCAAGAAAAGAAAGCCAGGAATTTTTGCCTAGAAAATTTCCACTAGTAACTAGGACTCACATGAAGACTGTAGTAGAATATTTGCCATTGTTACATCTGATTGTGCATAACCATAGTGGAGGTGCAGAATGTCATCTTGAATAGCAATTTTTTGTGTGGATGCAGAGTGGGCTGTGATTTTCATGCAGTTTGTTGTACTTTGTTTTATATGTATTTGCTATCCAGATATGATAAATGTTTGTGTCAATGACATACTCTCTCTACTAACAATGTATAAGGAGAGGAAGATTTTTTGAATTCAAGGATAATTGAATTTAACGACTAGAAAATATAAATGTTTTAAAAATATATAATTGATGGTTTTTAAAGATAATCCCTCATGTAAAGATAAAACTCCTCTTCACAACAACAAAAATCTTTAGTGTCATAATCCAAGACTTTTATGTCAACAATGAATTTATTGCATGTTCGATGTCAATTTAGATTACATATGTATCTTGGGTGGGAAAATATCCTGTTTGCTATGTTGACATCCATTTGCTGATTCATGACAAATTGCCACTTGAGACACCACTCAGATGTTTACCTGTCTTCCTGATCTCATCCTCATATCAAAAAGATGCTTCTGTACATTCTTGAATTTTATGCAGACCATACAAAGCATATTTTGTTGAGGCTAGGTGGCTTCCTGTTATCAGAAGATAATGTGCCTAATCACATATTCCTTAGTATTGAGATAAATTTTCAAGAGATTAAATCTAAAAATCATGAGAATTTATTGAAGGATGGATCTATGTAACAAAACAGAACTCTCATACAGGTGCAGTTTTTCACAAGGTAGTTTTGGAGTTTCCCGTTTTGTTTTTGGAAAAGTATCCATGCTTAAAGAGAATGTTAGCTCATTCATTATGTTGACATAAAGGGTAAGTTAATACAAAGAAACCTGGTATAGAATATTAATAAAAATAAATGACTTGAAAAGTGTTCAGAGATATTTAGGAAGCCTCTCTAGGAACTATGCCACTGTCATAATTAATCTCCCACCATTTAGACCTTCTGCTCTAGCCATGCAGATCTACTCATTGTCCCTCTAACACCATTTACAACTTTGTGACTTTACTCATGCTCTTCTCCCAAACTGTCACATTCTTTCCATCTTGTCTGAATCCTGCCCTTTCTTCAAAGCTCTGTTGCACTTTCCTGACTGCTTCCTCAGTGATTTCCTAATTTGAACACCCATCAAACTCATCCATTCTCTATTGCACATAAAATCTTGTATTATTGTTTTTTAATATATATGCCCTTTCTCCCTGGCTAAAATTTAAGCTCCTTGAGGGGAGAGTTTGGGTCTCCAAGCACCTGACAGTATAACACAAGTCTAAATAGTCAATTAGGTGACTAATTATATCTGTCTATGATCACGTGCAGCAGATAGTAGCATTCTCACTCCAAAGATTAGGAAACTGACATTCATAAAAGAAAACAAACCTGACTGATATTGCTAACAATTCACATATTGTGAATTGTGATACTCTTGGCAAGGCACTGGGCCTTTTATAGGGAACTACTAATTGTCAGTCCAAGGCAGTTAGCAAAACCTAATCTTAGGATAAATAGGCAGACAGTCTACACACTCAGGTAAAGGACTACAGGATTTCTTTGTATTAACTTACATATTATTACATATAAAACAGATTATACCATTAGTTAATTTGATAAAAAAGAGGAAAATCAAATTACCAGTATCAAAAATGAAAAGGGTGAATTCACCACCAATAAAGAGGATATTAAAGTAATTATTAGGAGTTATTTTGCACAATTATATGCCAATAAATCTGACATATCTAAGTGAAATGGATGAATATTTACAGAAACATAAATTGCTGAGATTAACAAAAGAAGAATAGAATACTTAAATAGGCCCATTTCAGAAAAAGAAATTGAACATGCCATCAATGAACTCCTTATGTTGACATAAAGGGTAAGTTAATACAAAGATCACACATTCATTGTTTTTCTCTTGATTTTGAAATATATTTAAGTAAATGATAAAATTAACTTTTTTATCTTACTACTATGTGGATACTTCTGCATTTGATCATTACCTAAATGATTTCTATGGTTCCTTTCATATTTAGATTCTATTTTTCTTTAGTTTTTTTTTAATTTAATTTTTAAATTTCTTAGTTAAAGTACTGTATGTGGGTATAGTCTCGGCTAAGTGACAAATTGTATCTCAATTTCCCTGATTTGAGCTCTCTGACTATCTGTAGTGAGAGTTTGGAATGCTATTATAACTATTTCTTCTTCAAGCTGATATTCACTTTTACTGACTGACAAATAATTTTTGAAAGCTTAAAAACATACTTATGTTGCTGATGAGTCATTTTTCAGTCCTGTTCAATTCTTCACAACTCCATTTGGGGTTTTCTTGGCAAAGATACTACAGTGGTTTGTAATTTCCTTCTCCAGTTTATTTATAGATGAGGAAACTAAGGCAGGCAGGGTGAAGTGACTTGTCCAGAGTCACATAGCTAGTAAATGTCTAAGGCTGGATTTGAACTCAGGAAAAGGAGTCTTCCTGATTCCAGGTCTGGCACTCTATCAACTGTACTACATTATGGATATAGTTCTTGCTGTATTAAATCTAGCAAAAATAACACCATGATTTCTTTCCTTTTTTCCTTCTTTCTTTCTTTTATTTTTTTATAGCTGCAGATTCTTGTTGATACTGGAAGCAGTAACTTTGCTGTGGCAGGTGTCCCTCATTCACATACGACTTCATACTTTGACACTGAGAAGTAAGTAATGGAATATGAGGTTTGAAGTTGAGTTAGGGTTTTTGTGCTGCTTGAAATGGTATTTCAAAAAGTGCTGGGACGGATTATCCTGCTGCTTTTCTGGGAGAGGACTAAGATTAATTCAGTAAAGCACTTTTTGGTTTTAACTTTGATAATCACATTTGAAGTTGTACCTTCTGTAAAAAAAAAAAAGGGGGGGTGGGGTATAGATGTGCCATACCTTAAGAAAACATGACCTGTTAAGATAGAAGCTGAACGAGCCAGTGTGATGTAGATAGGATTCATACACTGGAGCTTGACTGGAGCCCTAAATTCCTTTCCAACTCCACGTTTATCTGAAATTAAAATGCAAACCTGTAAAACACATAAATTAGGGGTGATTATTTGTATCCTAAAATAAATCACTGTAGGATTCCTTTAAATAGTGGATTAAGAATCAGATGTACTTTGTAGATATGCAGTTGGCCACCATCTTTTTGTAGCATTTGTAATGCACAGAAATATTTCTATACTATATTTTATTCTACACTCTCCATTGTGTTATAGAGATACTAGTAAACAAAGAGAAAATAATTATAAATCAATGTAAAAGTGTGAAGAATTTGTCTTTTAAACATGGTGTGGTTTAGTAGAGTTAAAAAACAATGCATTTAGAGTAACCTAGACATTCTCTTGATGTTGATATGTGACATATTTGATAAGTAAAGATTGAATGCACTCATTCTGAATGAAAAGGAATGGTGTTTATGTATTAAAAATTACAGTTTTGTTGAAGAGAGAAAATGATCTTTTGAGGTAGCTTGCAGTTGAGGAAACCATTGATACATAAGAATGTAATGATTGATGTTCTATAATGTGTTCTAATATGATTATCCCACACCAACTTGACTTTTCAACCACACATCCCCAGTGTTCCCCAAATGATCACATAGCCAAGGGTAATACACTAAAAATAGTTATATGCATCAAGGAGGATGACTTAGACTTTTCTATTTTATCCCTGGCAATCCAGAGATCATCCTCTTTGGGAGTTAAAGGAAACAAAATAAAAGTAGATAAACTCAACCTTCCATCATCATTTATATTAGATATATCCACCTAGGACATTGTTCCTATCCTTTACCCCTTCTTTGATCCTCCTGTTTTCCCCAAAATAGACTGGAACAAACTAACAAAAAAAAAAAACCTTTTTGTGATGTTTAGTTTTCCTCACTAGCCTTAGCTTGTCCTGTGCTTTAGAACTCATGACACTCTTCTTATAGGATCTTACCACACCTTCACATTTATCCACTGATACCTGTTTTGTTTTGTTTTTTAACCACAATTTGTTTTGCCATTTCCCAGTTGATGGACTTATAGTTTTTCCCTGGCCTTTTTTTTTTGGGGGGGGTGGAGGTGCTAGGCAATGGGGTTAAATGACTTACCCAGGGTCACACAACTAGTAAGTGTTATGTGTCTGAGGCTGGATTTGAACTCAAGTCCTCCTGAAACCAGGGCTAGTGCTCTATCCACTGCGCCATCTAGCCGTCCCTCCCTAACTGCCCCTCCCTAGCCTTTTTTGCTGTTGCCTTTTGATGGCACAGGATACAGAACAGAAATTTTATTTTGGAACACAAATAGCTACCTAAAAAAGTAATGTCTGATAATGAGATTCAGACTTCTGCACTATGTCTTAAAATATAGGAATGGCAGACTTATGACCAGGAATAGAATATGACTAATAGAGCTTAAAATTGTAAATTATGGTGTCTAATAAAAAGGACTTTGAGTAAAGTGACTTTTTCTTGGTTTTCCTGATTAGAATTCAGTCTAATGCATTCTCTAGATATTTATCAAGGAGGTATGGAGGGATATCTAGATGTAACACTTCTTACTTTACTGTCTTGACTCAGTCTCATCTCTACTTTCTCACTAATCTTCATCTGTTCCCTCTCTATGTGCTAATTCTCTACCCCCTATGAACATGCCCATATCTTCTCCATCCTCAAAAAAATCTTTACTTGATCTATCCATCCCCATTACCTATCAGCCTATATTTCTCCTACTTCTTGAGAAGATCTTCTAAAACAGGTGTCTACACTTCCTTCTTAACTCTTTACATTCCTAGCTTCCAAATTCATCATTCAACCAAAAGTGCTGTCTCCAAAGCTGTCAATGGTCTCTTAATTGCCCAATCTATTGTCCTTTTCAAAATGCTCATTCTCTGCAGCATTTGACATAATCACCCTCCCCTTGATACTCTATTCTCTCTAGATTTTCATACTACTATAAATTAGTTTTCTTCCTACCTGTCTGTCAATCTACTTCTAAGTCTCTTTCTGCAACATCTTCATACAGTTCTCACCTGATAACCACAAGTGTCCCACAGCATTTTGTCCTGGCTTCTTCTCTTCTTCCTCTGTAATATTCCACTTGGTGATCTTATCACCTTCCATGGTTTCAATTATTGCTTTGAAGATGATTCTCATATCAGCTTAGTCAGCCCTAAGCTGTCTCCTAAGCTCCAGTCACATATCTCCAACTCCCTATTGGGCCTCTTAAACTTGATATGCATGCCCTAAACATCTTAAACTCATCATGTGCAAAACTGACCTTACATTTCCCCCCAAATGCTTCCCTATTCCAAACTTCTCTATTATTTTAAAGGTTACTGCTTTCCTCTCAGTCATCTGGATTCTCAGCTTGTGTCATCACCAACTCCTCACTCTCACCCTCATCATAACAATAATAACTACAACAACAATAATAAATGCTTAATATTTAAATAATGCTTATTTTGTACCTGGCACTGTGCTAAGCAATTTACAGTTATTATCTTTTTTAATCCTCACAACAATCCTGGGAAGTAAGTGTTATTATTATCCTCATTTTGAGAAAACTGAAGGAAGAAGAAGTTAAGTGATTTCCCCGGAGTCACACAAGTGGTATGTGTCTCAGGACTTCCTGACTCCAGACCTGGCACACTCTCCACTATGCTACTGAGTTGCCTCTAGTATGCAATCAGTTATCAAGTCCTATCATTTCTAACTTCTCCCCGTCTCTTGTATATGGCCCTTCTCTCCTATGACACTGCTATCACCCTGATTCAGTCTTCCATCGCCTGGGCTATGGAAATATCCAGTTGGTTAGTCTCGCTTCCTCAAGTCTCACCCCTCTCCTATTCATTCAGCTGTCACACTGATCTTTCTAAAATGCAGGATCTGGCCATATCATTCCACCAGTGACTCCCTATCACCCCTAAAATGAAAGATACAGTCCTTCGTTTGGCCTTTAACATCTCTTTTACATCATGATCCCTTCCCACCTTTTCACTTTTCTTAAATTTGCTCCTGTTCATGTATTCTGTCACCCAGTGACACTGGCCTCCTTGCTGTTCCTCACACAATGTCCTCTATCTTCTGATTCCAGACTTTTCCCCTGGCGATCCTCCATGTTTGGAATTCTTTCCCTCCTCATCTCTGTTTCCTAGTTTCCCTGGTTTCCTTCTAGTCTCTGCTAAAGTCCTACCTTCTACATGGTTTTGCCAGTGCTCCTTAATCTTAGTGCCTTCCCCCTGTTCATTACATCCAGCACATCCTGAATATATTGTGTTTGTACATAGTTTTTCGCCTGTCTTCTCCCCAATTAGACTGTGAACTCCTTGTTACCTTTCTCTGTAACCCCAGTGAGTTACAAAGTTAAAATAATAATAATATAAATATAATAATCAGTGGGTTATTAAGCACCCTACAATGGTAAAGTGTTAAATAAATGATAGTTTACTGACTACCTGACTGAAAAGTCAGCTTTACACATTCCAGAACTATCACTACCATTGATAGCAACAATATTGTCATCCTGAGAACTTTGAAATTCCAAATTTAAACCATTAGTCTGTCAGTCTTACGAAGATAAGTGGAGGATAAAGGGGTGGGGAGTCTAGTGAATGGCTGGTAGAGAAGCTTGTTTACCTTCTTTACTCTTCTTTCTCTTCATGTCCTTCTGCTCACATCTTCTTAAGCTCAGGCACTTCAGTTTATCCTCCTCAAGTTTAGTCTGACCTTCACACTGCCAATACCTTCTAAATATTGTCACAATTTCTCCTCCTTTTCTTTCTCCTTCAGCTCAAGTCCTTTACCTTCTTCCATTATTTCTGCCATATAACCACTTCCTATGGAAATCAAATGTAGAAAAGGTTCTAGGCTATCTTTGTTCTCTTTTCCCCTGGTTCCTTACTCACTGTACCTAGTTACAATGTTTAGCTTTAACTAAGAGAAGAGAAAAAGAAAATATAAAATTGGAACCTAGTATTCCTTGAAATGGAGATTGTATGGATGGTTCTGTCAGATTAAAATTAATTCTGCTTAGGTCTGGATCTATGCTATAAGGCAGAGTGGCATGGCAGTGAGGAAGAAGGGGAAAAGGAAAGAAGATTTCAAGTTTTGGCTGCCTTTTGCAAAAGTGAAGAGAATGTCTAGGAGAATTTATTCTGAAAGATAAAATTACTCTATCTTTGGAATAAAGTGGTTTTATCTGGAGAAAATAGAAGATTTCAATTGTCAAGAGTACAGGGAAAACTGACTTCTAGTAAAGAATAATATGATCTGATTTTGTTATATGATTTCATCATTATCATTTTCAATTATTAATTGTTTCTATGATTTATTCTTTGCCTCTATTTAGGATTCCACTGTTTTCTCCATCTGAATCTGTGCCTTGTTTACAGTCCTTGAACCAATTACTGTTTTTATCATGTTATTATTTATAAAAGAATGTTTCTGTCTTTTTACATATATTTGCAATATCTCTGGCATAATACAGGGTCAGTTTTGTAAAAGTTCCGTGTGGTGCTGAGAAAGATTTTCTTTTGCAATCCCATTTAGAAGATGCCAGATATATTTTAGCTCTAGTTTCCCTCAGAAACTTGTTCAATTTCCTATTTTTCTTTTTGTATATCATTCTGTTAGACTTATCCAAAACTGAGAGAGGGATTTTGAAGTCACGATTATGTTACTATGTCA